CACAGCACCACGTGAACATGGGGTCAGAGTTGCATTATCCGACTGCCTAAATGGTCATTTGGTAAGAGAGCTGACGGGCATCAGCCATCGATTGACGACACTTAGCCTACGAGATGAAATAGGTTAATCTGCAACTTTTCTTAGCACGTATGCTCCTACGATGTTTTATCCTGATGACACGAGGTATCAGTTCTATGCTCAGTTATTCTGCATGATACGGTTGAAGCCGGCTACTCCAGCTGGATGATCACAACGCGCGCGTCGGATGATTTTCGCGGTGTCAACAGGCGTAATCGAACCGTAGGGGATTGGCTGAGCCAACAGGGATAGTGGATCATTAGCCTCAGGCTAGTCTGGAAAAGTACCAGACGCCGGCATTTCGACCTTCTGGGGCTCGTCAGTGGTGCACCTCCCAACGGACCCCTGCCAGGTTCCGCCCCCATGACTTCAGGATGCCAGCAGCTAGTGCCACTTCGCCATGGGAGATAGTCGCGGACCTGCGTGCTTGACAGTTGACTATGATACAGCCCGGCTCATCTTCCACTGCTATGCCAGTTACGAACTGTGCAGAGGACAGGGGCTAGCCTAACGAGCTAAGACTTTCCGCAAAGCGCCTATGTACGACATAGGACTTAGAAGCTATACGGACAGATTCTATACTACTGATGAGCAGTAGTGAGGATTTTGCCATGATTCAGCCAATTCATCAGGGTCATTCCCAATCAGTCCTAGCTCGTGACGCTACCCACTGTTCTATGCACAGTTCGTAACTGGCATGGCAGTGGAAGATGAGCCGGGCTATATCATAGTCAACTGTCAAGCACGTAGGTGCGTGGCTATCACCCATGGAGAAGTGGCACTAGCTGCTGGCATCCTGAAGTCATGGGGGCGGAACCCGGCAGGAGTACGCTGGGAGGCACACCACTGACGAGAATCAGAAGGTCAAAACACCGGCGTCTGGTGCTTTCCTAGACTAGCCAAAGCCTGCTGATTGGGAGTGACAACGATGAATTAGCTGAATTATACCAAAAATCCTCACCACTACTCATCAGTAATCCTCCATATCCCCTCTCCTTTCAGCACTTTTCTTCCCCGTCTAATGTCTGCCGCTGACCTCGCAGCTGCCGCTATCGATGCATGTAGCTCTTCCATTAAACGTAAATTTTCATTTCACATCGGTTCTTATAATGTCCGCACTCTAGGTTTGATTGGTCAGCAGTCAACACTGACTCTCACGTTTCACTCTCTTGGTGTTGATGTGAGGCATCTCCAAAACACGCATATAAAAAAACAGCGTCGTGACGAATCTTTGACTCCCTAGTTCTGATTCTGACGACGATGACTACACTCTTCGCGTCTCTGGCGATACTGAGTCAATGGCTCGAGGTATTTACGATGCTGGCATTGCCCTCAGCAAACGTACTGGAAATAGTATGATCGACTGGATACAGGTGAACAGCCGCATATGTGCGGTCAGACTAGAAACCACTATTGGGGTTGATAAGCACCGTAGGAAGACAAGGTGCTTTTTCATCGCCTGTTTACGCAGTTCAGAGGGTATCAAGGACGATTTATATTGACAGCCCTTATCACTCCTTCGCATGGCGAAGAATACTGACATCGTGGTTATGGCTGGTGACATAAATGCCGTCTTTCAGACTCCGAACAACAACTGGGCGGCGACTTCGGAGTCGATGCGTGCCGAACAGGCAATGGTGATTAAATCCTGCAACCGTGCGCCAATCACAACCTTTACTTAGAAGCACTGCTTTCCAGCACAAACGTTCACGCCGTGTCATCTGGCGCCCATTGAATCCCTCAATAAACTAGACCCAAATGGATCATATTGCCATCGGCCACAGGTAGCTGTCGGTCAATTTGGAGCACGCGCCTGGATTCCGATCATGCTCAAGTGCGCGCATGCTTGGCGGTCACACTTCCCGCTTTAAAGAAGCGACTATCTTCTAACCTTACCTGTAAGTTGGAATCGCAGTCTGTAGTGCAACAATATCATGACGAACTGGCCCACCAATTGCGTGGTGAATGAGATTGGTGAGCCGAACGCAGACTGGGATCGTCTGAAATGTACCATTAAGAATGCCTTTGACATATGATGTGCACTCAACTTGGAACGTAATAACTGTGAATGGATCTCTGAGGAATCGAGCAGCTTGACCGAAGCACGGGAACAAGTTCAGATGGACATTGAGTTCCAGTGTGTCCGTAATTCTCTAAAACGACGACTGACAAGAAGTTTTCGAATCGATCAAGAACGTTGGTGGATGGCAAAGACCCCCTGAGATGGAGAAAGCACGTGCTATTGGGAACAGCCGAGTACTATTTCAGCGAGTACGAGAAAGTCAACAGTTGAGAAAGTTGGACAAGTGATCCATTCTCAACGTCGTCGACCGAGCCGTTGGGCGGAACATTTTGAAGATCAGTCAAGCAGCCTTGCTGCAACACTGCTGCTTGCCGAGTTGGACGTGTGGGCCTGGATGTTACACTTCCCAACATGAAACAGATACGACATGAGATTACCTTGTTTAAACGAAACAAGCGTTCCGGACGCGATGACCAACATTCAACTTTGCGAAAAGATGCTGCTGATTCTCTATTGACTGGACTCGCCTCTCTATCTAACATGATGTAGAACACTGTAGAGGTGCCTGCAGACTAGCGACTGTCAACTGTCGTGCCCATATTCCAGAAGAGTCAGTGTATATTGTGAGAAAACCAGCGAACGAGTGCCTAGTTTCCGTTGCCTCCAAACTTCTTACAAGTATCATTCAGCGAAAAGAACCGAATCAATGAAAAAGCGGCTCGTTTCCGCTATGAAGGTGATTGCACCGACCACATATTTACTTGCCGCCAAGTTTCAGAGCAGAGACACACATACAGACAACTGACAATGGCGGCTTTTACTTGAGTTGAAATCTGTCTTCGACTCTGTTGACCTCGCCAATTTGTGACACTGCCTATCCATGAAGCGCGTGCCGGCTAAATTCCTTTACATTCTTAAATCTCTATCGTGACTCCCGAGGCCGTGTAATGGCCAACGGAAAATTGTCTCCTGAATTCCAAACGACCGGTAAACTTCTCCAGTGTTATCCCATATCCCCATTCCTCTTCAACTTTGTGATCGAAATGATCATGAACGACTCGGTTCTGGCAGACTATACCGGAGTGGAAGTTCTGCCGGGTGACCGACTGACAAACCTCTAGTATGCTGACGACATAGCTCTCCTGTGGTCTGATGCAGTGGCTATGCGAACACTACTGCATAGACTGACATGTAGCCCTTCACCTTTTGACATGCGTTTTGCACCTTCACAGTGCAAATTATTGTTGCGGGATCAGACGGATACACCTCCGGTTCTAGCTATCCCCGAACAACCACTGAAAGTGCTGGATGGGTTCACTTACCTTGGTAGCTGTGTCACCTCTGACGGTCACATCACTGAGGAAGTTACTTGCGTATCTGTAAGGCTTGTGTGTCTTTTCAGAGGCTCTACGATCTACAGAGACGGCGAGATATCAGCTTGTCAGTGAAATATAAGGTGTATAACGTTACCGTCCTACTGAATGCATCAGAGAACTGGCCGGTTGGCGGCGAAGACATTAAACACTTGGCTGTGTTTGACCACTGGTGCTTGCGGAGTACTACTTGCGGCTGGTGGGGAATACCGGTTGCGCAATGCTGAGGTCTGTCAGTTAGTTTTTGGCAAGAATTCTTCTGGTGCCTTACTCGGGTGTTAGCTGAATCATAATCCCTTACGTTGGATAGGCCATGTCCACCATATGCCCGTTGACCAGCTTTCTCAGCGTGCATTATACGCCGTGGCCGCACCAAGTTGGGCAAATCCTCGAGGTAGTCAGTCCATGACGAGGTATAAAGGAATGAGGAAAATGTCTGAGAGACTTGATCCGTCTGTTGCGTGCTGTCTTCGTGGAAGAAGGCCTTGGGGTGGTCCACGTCAATGGGTGGAGAGCCTTTAATACATGATGCAGTCACGCAATCAATGACGTTCCTGCCTTCGGTTTTATGCATCCAGCCGTTTATTGACATTCCATGATGATTAGTTTAACACAGTTCCTTTTTGCCACATTTTCTTTATATTCTATTTGACATTAACCCACTGTCTTTCCGTTGCTCACCAGTGTTATTCTTGCGATGTGAATCGTGGCAAATGGATTCACCGCATTTCAGTGCCTTAATCATATCTGTTTAACTAAACTAAACTGCACTGCACTATTGGAGAAGGGTTCAACACTAAAGAATCGCGGAAGTCCCACTAACCTTTTGTGTGAACAAAGGGACTGAGCTTGTCTGACTCCAAACCGTTGACCCAAGTTTGGGTGGCTCGATGAAGCATGAATGTGAGTAAGTTATAGCTCTGCATCAAGGCCTAGGTTTATCGCAACGGAGAGTTGAGAAAAGCGCGCTCTATTAAGAATAGTAGGAGAGACAAGACCCAAATTGGGAGAGCGTTGCAAAAAGAAGTGAGGTGAGAAGAGGTGGATTAATCATAGTAAACATATGTTAGAGGTGAACAGTTAGAAGATTATGGACATGAAGTTCTAGGCTGCTGGAACCAAAAGTGGGAAGGTTAGTTTTGGTATAAACTTCCGAAAGTGATAGGAATCTGATCAAAGTTCGGTCACCGAATAAAAATCGCAGTTCAGAAATAACGTAACGCTAAAACTGTCGTCCAGGAAGACTACGCTAGCAGTATTCACTGGCAGGGAAGTTAAAGGAAACCCATCAGACTGACACGGTTGATGGAATGAAAAGCTGATTTATCCAAATAGACAAAAAGTCAACTGACATATCTGTGGGTTATTAAACCTGAAAAACGGTTAGGTTTAGGAAGCCAGTGATGATAAGCACGAAAGGAGGTGAAGCTGTCTTTACAGACTTAAGCAGGCAATGTGCGATAAGCAGTACCCATATGACGGGGATAGGATACACAAACGCAAATGATGCAAACCCGGTCACTAACCTTCTTAAAAGGCATAATATAATATAGACTGGACAAATTTTCACAATCGTCAATCTCGTCGCCTATAAAAGTACGTCCGGAAAGAGTTCTCGATTTGAAAATACAATTGTCGATTATCCTAGGACAGATAACAACAAGAGAGATTGAACGCACTTGGGTCTCTCATCGCCAGCAAATCCCACTTTTAGGGAGCCACCGCCTATATCGATTATCAGGGCCGGTACGCTCATTTTGCATTTGTATGAGCGCAGTCCACGGTGGCTCGAGTGGGTCAACTAGGCCTGCAAAAAAGAGTCAAATGTAGGGTTAATTTTGCTAATTAGAGAGATTAATAAATGTTCCCAAACTGAGCTGAAATAACCAAACAAGGGAGAGGAGAAAGGTAGGTACAGGTGTAACAAATAACACAACAGAACGGAAGCAATAGTTATTGGTATCGTTCAATAACAATAATCCGTGCACCCGAGTACGGATAGTGCCTTCGGGCCCCACTCAACGGACCGAAAAGATACACAAGCAGTTGCACCACGTTAAAGTCTATTATCGTTAAAACAAAGAGATTGATGGATCCCGATGCCTTGACTTACACCGCAAATAACAGTAAAATAACAGATTGAGAATAGAGCACTGAAATCGTCGAGTGGGATAGTAGTAATAGAATGTACAAGAACCCCAACAACTTCTTCGGTGTGACAGATGAATCCGGGTGACAGTTACATGCTGGTTAACATGGGATAACGGCAATAGAAAAACGAGGGGAAAATGGTACAACTGACGAGTGTTTTGAACAGATTCTATTCGTAAGTCCCTTCACTCAAGGGAGTATGTTTGTTACTAATGAGTAGTGGAGATATAGTGTGATCAGAGATACTTCATCACGGCGCACTCTCAGTCAACGGGCTCTGGCTAGTCTGGAAAAGCACTAGAGGCCGGCGTTTCGACCAGCTTGGTCTCGTCAGTAGTGCGCCTACCAACGGACCCCTGACCGGGTTCCGCCCCCATGAATTCCAGATGCCACCAGCCAGTGCCACTTCGCTATGGGTGACAGCCGCGGACTTGCATGATTGAAAGTTGACCGTAACATAACCCGACTGAGAGCGACCGTGATGAACTATCTCTAACCATACCAAATCTCCACTACTCATTAGTAATATAAATTCTGTCCGTATAGCTTCTAAGTTCTTGCGTCGTACTGAGGCGCTATGCGGAAAGTCCTAGCTCGTGGGGCAAGCTGCTGTCCTCTGCAAAATTCGTAACTGGCATGGAAACAGATGAGGCGGGCTATATCACAGAGTATGTTTATTTTTTGTCAAGTTGGATTGCGCTGAACGCAGCCACACACACACACACACGAAGGTGAAACAGCCGTGTCGCTTCATATAATAAGGACAACAAAAATCAACGACTATGGGTGAAAGAACCCAGAAAATGTAAACATGCAAAAGGGCTCCTGAAAATAACGGATAGCCAAGGGAAGGAATTGAATGTTAGGTCACCGATCATCTGACAGTGTCATACAGCAGATGGGCCCTAACTACTGGTGAGACAAACCTTCCGTTCAGACAAGCTGACATAATTCTTCTGTCATCAATTGGACCAACTCGGACATTTGTCAAATGAGTGAAATAATAGTGAACAACGAAGGCAAACGATCGGGGATCAAAGGGCCAAGGTGCTGAGAGTACAGTGTTAGAGAGGATGTTGTCAGTGAAGTCGAACAAGCACCGAAGTGTTCCGGATACAATTGCCAAGACTCACATCGCAAGGATTAACAATAAAGAGCAACGGCAAGATAGTGGGTTAATGGCAAATAGAATATAAAGAAAATGAAAGCAAAAAGGAACTGGGTTAAACTGATCAGAATGGAAGGAAAATTAACAACCAGATGCAAGAAACTGAATGCAGGAATGCCGCTGACTGCGCGATGCCTGAGACGGTTTCCAACCATTTGTGTGAACCATTCCGCCTGAACGATTCTCAGCCAATTTCTACAAGCCAATGTGCCACGTCATGGACTGTCCAGCCCGCGATTTCGCCCAACTTGGTGCGGCCACGGCGTATAATGCACGCTGAGAAAGCTGGTCAACGGGCATATGGTGGACATGGCCTATCCAACGTAAGGGATTATGATTCAGCTAACACCCGAGTAAGGCACCAGAAGAATTCTTGCCAAAAACTAACTGACAGACCTCAGCATTGCGCAACCGGTATTCCCCACCAGCAGCAAGTAGTACTCCGCAAGCACCAGTGGTCAAACACAGCCAAGTGTTTAATGTCTTCGCCGCCAACCGGCCAGTTCTCTGATGCATTCAGTAGGGCGGTAACGTTATACACCTTATATTTCACTGACAAGCTGATATCTCGCCGTCTCTGTAGATCGTAGAGCCTCTGAAAAGACACACAAGCCTTACAGATACGCAAGTAACTTCCTCAGTGATGTGACCGTCAGAGGTGACACAGCTACCAAGGTAAGTGAACCCATCCAGCACTTTCAGTGGTTGTTCGGGGATAGCTAGAACCGGAGGTGTATCCGTCTGATCCCGCAACAATAATTTGCACTGTGAAGGTGCAAAGCGCATGTCAAAAGGTGAAGGGCTACATGTCAGTCTATGCAGTAGTGTTCGCATAGCCACTGCATCAGACCACAGGAGAGCTATGTCGTCAGCATACTAGAGGTTTGTCAGTCGGTCACCCGGCAGAACTTCCACTCCGGTATAGTCTGCCAGAACCGAGTCGTTCATGATCATTTCGATCACAAAGTTGAAGAGGAATGGGGATATGGGATAACACTGGAGAAGTTTACCGGTCGTTTGGAATTCAGGAGACAATTTTCCGTTGGCCATTACACGGCCTCGGGAGTCACGATAGAGATTTAAGAATGTAAAGGAATTTAGCCGGCACGCGCTTCATGGATAGGCAGTGTCACAAATTGGCGAGGTCAACAGAGTCGAAGACAAATTTCAACTCAAGGAAAGCCGCCATTGTCGGTAGGTGTGAGGATGTTGTCGGCATCGGCATCGGTGAATTATCGACAGATACCTCGTGCACGTGGATACGATCCGCAAACCTCTGAGATCACGTACGTTAGAAAGGTAAGTGCGTGCTGGGCGGAAACGGTTTTAAATATACTTAGCAAGTATCGATCGTTTAAAGCCTATCTGCATCGGATTTCAGTCGCTGCAACAGATTTCCGAACACAGGCAATTGCATAGCACTCCCCCCACCCGACGAATGTGTGATCCTAGTGCCGTTTCCTTATATGCACCATTCACAGTCGACACAAAGTGTGCATGTTTTGGACATGCAGTATATCTTTCTCCCATACACCAAGGGCACCTATTGAGCGTTTAACTGCCTAACTCATGATCTTGCATCAGATTCTGTGGCGCTTCTAAACTATTATTCTCTCAATTATACCCTTGTACTTAACAACAAGAAATAACTCTTTATCCTCATCTACGAAAGAAGTGAAAGTTATGCCGGGTGACCGGTCGACACACTTAGAAGAAACGGATGACACAGCTGATCTTAGACCGGACACAATGCTTGTATAAGTGTTTCTAAAAAGATTGATGTAGAATGCCGAACTCTTCGGTAGATACCTCGTAGCTCCGAAGTGTAAGTAAAACTTAGAAACTGGGCCGACATTCCGCTAGATATTGCACCGGAGAAATACTCGAACTAATGGGCATCGGATCCATTTACTCTAACAGATGTTTCGTTTCTAGTGGTCAAATAACGGAGGGAGTTGATGCAATTATCAGAACAACACGTTTGTCTTTCAAGAAGTCAAACCATCTACGGAGACGGTCAGTCATTATTGCGGACAGCCGGTCGGTCAGTTAATGGTATTGTTTGACGTTGCGGTAATCACGGTCTAATCTTAGCACTAGAAACATGGCTAATTAGCACTGAGACATTACTCATTTTTGTTCATCGGTGCATGCGGAGTATTCGTCGCATGTAACGAGTGCACCGGGTAAACAGTGAAGATACAGGGTGTCATTACGTTCAAATGGAATGAGGTTAACGCGTCTCGGTGCGGATATGGGATCTAGGACCAACAAGGGCCTGGGTATCCTCAGGGTTAGTAGCACGGGGTTGGAGTGCACAATCGTTACAGCGGGTTTGGGATGAGAGCAAGTCCATGTCGAGGGGGAATTTACAAGGAGCAAGACATACATAACAACGGTCTGTGACTAGTAGCACGGGGTGGGAGTGCACAATCGTCACAGCAGGTTTGGGATGAAACCACACAGACTTGGCTAGGAAAACAATGTATAGCACAATAGCCCGTAGAAGCAGACGACAGAAGGGTTATCGGGAACAAGTCCCGATACCATGGTGTAAGTTGCAAGGAAAACATGGAGCTTGGCATAGTTAATCCGGGACCTCGGCAGACGGCGCATATGATGTGGTTATCTGACTACGACCTTGACATGCAGGCTGCGGTTTTCATGGTAATTCTTCCACCTACATGCTGCCCCAAATCCAAAGGATTTCCCTCGCATGGATCCGCCGTTGCTTTCTCGCTTTGGTTCGCTCTATCCCGCCTCCATCCGCTACAGGAGAATTACAGGATTTACAACGGTGCGCCTGCATTCTCCCATTTCGGCCTGTTGAACTCACAGCGGTCCTCCATGGAACAGCAGATCTGTGGATCCACCTCCCGCTTGCGGAGAGTAAACAGTCGAAACTACATCATCCGCCCAGTAGACCTGTCTTTCTTACACCTCTCTTAAGTATACCGCCCCTTGTCTTCACAACTACAGTTTGTACTAAACCATCCCCTGAGGTTACGCAATCTGTAATTACGCCCAATGGCCAGTGCCCACGTATCAATGCTTCGGAGACGACTAGCACGTCACCAGGCCTAAAATTCCGTTTGGTTGGCATCCACTTCCCTCTCTGATGTAGCATCGGTAAGTACTCTGTGGTCCACTGCTTCCAAAATACCGCTATTATGTAGTTCACTTGCTTCCAGCGTTGGGTATAACGTTTCTGCACTGCTAGTGGCATCAGCTGTCCCGGGTTCTGACGCAGCAGTAGTAGATCGTTTGGTATAAGGGCTAGTTGGTCACGAGCATCTGTAGTAAGTGGGATAAGAGGTCTACCATTGATGACACGCTCAGCTGCTGCGAGAAAAGTAACCAAGGTTTCATCCTTAAGAGATTGCTGACCTGCAATTGAAAGCAGTATACTTCTAACGGATCTTATCATTCCCAAATGCCACGCCGGTGACTTGCAGACGGAGAGTTGAAGTGCCACTGGATGTTCCGACTTAAA